GACAGAGAAGCGCGGAGAAGAGAAGGACGCAGAGAAAGAGCAGAGATTGAGCCAACTGAGACGAGGCAGAAGAGAGATGGACGGAGGAGAGAGCGAGGAAGACACGAGAAAGAACAGAAAAGAGAGAAAGAGAAGAGGACCGAGGAAGATGAGCGACAAGAGAGAGAAATGAGGAAGGGAGAGCGAGAAAGAGAAAGAGAGAGAGAGAGAACGACGGAAAGAGAGCAGAAGAAAAGGAAAGAGAGAAAAGAGCACGAGAGATAGAGAAGGGTGCCAGTAGTAAGAGAGGAAAACGGACGGGATAAAAGAGAAGAGCATTATTAAGATATATGATATATAGCATAGAGGAGAAAGACCGAGAGAGAGAGAGAGAAAGACCGAGAGGGGGAGAAAGGAGACGAGACGCAGCATAAGAGAAACGAGAGTTGAGAGACTCCGAGAGACCCGAGGGAGAAGGAGACGGACAGAGGAGAGAAAGAGAGAAAGATCCGGCGAGACCGAAGAGAGAAAGACGGGAGAAAGAGAGACGATAAAACGAAACGAGAGCGACGAGAAGAGACGAGAGAGAGACCGACGAGAGAGAGACGAAGAGAGAGGGTTAAGACGAGGGGAGAAGAAAGAGAGGAGAGAGAGCGAGGAGAGAGAAAGCAGAAAGACAGAGGCAGAGAGAGAGAGAGAGAGAGAAGAGCAGAATAAGCAGAGAGAAGGAGTAAGACGAGAAAGAGAGGGGCAAAAATAGATGAGATAGATAGATAGACGAGAGCGAGTCAGAAAACGAGAGAGCCGCAGGGCAGAGAAATATGACCCAGAGAGAGAGAGACTGCCGAGAGAGAGGAGAGAGAGAAAGAAGGGCACCGGCCGCGCCGGGCCATCTTGAAAGCAGCGACTGTGAGCGAAGCGAGGCGAGCGATCAGCGGAGAGAGAGAGAGAGAGAGAGAAAAGAGAGAGAGAGAAGCGGGAGAGCGAAGCGAAGAAGAAGACCGAGAGACGAGAGACGGGGACGAGAGGGTGCAGAGAGAGGAGAGAGACAGGAGTAAGAGAGGCGAAAGTGACAAGGGACGAGAGAGAGAGAGCAGAGAGATGAGACGAAGAGCCTAGATAGATAGTAGAGAGAGAGACGACGCAGAGCAGAGAGAGAGAGAGAGCGACGCGCCCAAGGATAGCAAGAGATAGCCAGAGCAAACGCAAAGTAAGATAGAAAACGTGAGCAAGGTAGAGAAACTACTGATACTATACTTATCTATTAGATTAGATAAATTAGATGACATACCATAGAATACATAGATACGCATACATAGATAGATACATAGATAGCATAGGAGAAGAGGAGAGAGAGGAGGGAGCGAGGAGAGAGAGAGAGATCGAGGAGAGAGAGCGAGGAGAAGGTAGCAAGAGCATATGCCAGAGCAAACGCCAACGCTTAGATCGTGAGCAAGCGTACAGAACCTCGGTGAGCGTTCTGAGTTCTCATAACACCACGTGCATTGATAAAACGATACTGTCGAACTTCCTTGTGGAAACCTCTCGTTGAAGGAGACGTCACACATTTCATCATCCCCTCCGCTCTGCACACAATTACAGCGTGCAGCAGAATTATATAAGCCGCTCTATGAAATCTTCGACAATCGCGTTTGCAGTCACGCTGAGATTAAAACCCGACTATATACGTATACTTATTCCTGTTCACGTTGAGATTTCTCAATGACCTACAGTAACTGACCGCAGCTAGCTAACTATAAGCCCGCGATGAGTGCTAGCCTCAGGAAAGGATTCATACGCACTATATACAGAGGTAATCGATGTCCAAGAGCCGGTACAGTCCGATACAGTGGCCCCACGGCCAATCGGCAAACTCTAATTGTGTTTTTTTGATGTGGGATTTGTGCGGACGCGCCGCTTTCACGTAAAAGCTCGATGTCGATAAAGTACGTACGCACAGGTGTGAGAGTAGCAGTAATCGAGTGTACATGCATAGATTGATGAAATATCATATTGGTATCGAAAGGTTAGAGTCGGCGAAGAAATTCTGGAGTAGGGTGCTCAAGGTGTGTATATACTTGTGAATATGCCAGAAAACTAATAAGCCCTTGAAGCTAACGTTTTTTTCGAGACGCAAGTTCATTCCGTAATGTAGAGGGAATAATGTAGAGCAGAGATTTCATATTATTGTATAACCGTGGCGCTCGCAGGATTAATTATTATTTAACGATAAGCTGTATAGCTTAGCATATCATACAATCGCAGAGCCGTTATGCGCCATGCACATATGCAGTCAAACAGCCTATCACATAATGATTCTCTTTAAATACTCGCCCTAATATTTTATTATTATTTCTATCATGTGATTGGTGGTAAAAAAAAGTCATATAATAATAACGAGTAAAAGTTTGGTTGTAATATTTCCCCGTCGCAGGCATATCGAAGCTGGCATACACTAGTGGATGATTATAGCAAAGAAGCCACAGCAAGGTAGCCAGCCTAGTATTTAACCGACAAAGCCATACTATGCGAAGATTGGAAGTGTGCAGTGATGACTAAGTCCGCACAAGATTACATAGGATCAGGTCGCTACCACGCGACGCTGTCACGCGATGCGGTATTTGCTCAAATTAACAACGAAAGTGTGCGTTTATTAATCGTGCATAGTCTCACCTATGCCGTTGCTATCTTATCCGTAAAGGTATTTCGATAACCTAATTGCAATTTCGATGTGCGTTTTCGTAGCGGTGCAGTTGAAAGCCGCTGTGTTAACACCGCGATAGAGTAATCGATGTGTGTATATAATATCCCCCTTCATGATTGTGTACAGGGTTCGCGTGCCGAGATTGTTAAGCCTTGAGGAATTTCTATGTCAGACCACTACTGTCACGTTAGGGTTAAATTATTAGAATAATACTTAATAAACTTAGCGAGGACACCGTTCTAACATATAACTGATTTACCTTTAGCATTTGCATCTTCGGCGGCATTTGAAGCAGCATCACGGTGTCTTTCTTCTAGATCTGTAAATTAATTAAACGAATAAACAAGAGTACTAAAAGGCAACACAACCATGCACACACGTACTCACGTGGACGCGAGCGCACGAAAGCAAATGTGTATATGTGTTTGAACATGATACGCCCACGCACGGTGATATTTTCCGGCTGATGTACACATATAGCATGAATTTATTATGTCGACCAGTATTTACGTATATCACTTTATATAAGCTCAACTAGCAAATGTTACCCATATCTGACTCTCCCCGGGAACTAAAAAAACTATTAGTTTATCTCCTGGCCCTCTTAAAACCCCGCTCGCGATCCTTGGAGATCGTATCCCATAGTTTGATCAACACTGGTCTATTCTCGACTGTCTTATCTATCTATCACTGGCTCTCTATACGTATATAATAGTATAATAAATATAGAGGCATAATACAGCACATTTTGTCAGCTGAAGACTGCTACCGTTAGCTTGTAATCAGTTGTTTTCAACACGGAATGATAGCAAGTCGTCATGTTTTTATAACAACAACCCATGACATTAATAAATGCACCATGTCGCTATAGTGTCGTACACAGTGTCTCGACCCCACTCCCATCACCCGTCCGTATAATAGCCATGCAGGTACACTGCAATAGCTACGTAACGTCACGTACGCCCAGACTGAGTAAGAGATCGAGGGCAGAAAGAGATAGAGAGAGAGAGAGAGAGAGAGAGAGAGAGAGAGAGAGAGAGAAGCGGTGTGTGTGTGTGTGTGTGTGTGTGTGTGTGTGTGTGTGTGTG